AAGCTGGAAGGATCTACAGCTTCGAGGACCTTCAAATATTTCCAGGTGAACACTCCCCCTGAGCGCTTCGCCGGACCCTGTCCCTTGGGGAGGTGGTGGTGCCAGCTGGCTTCCAGTCAGAGCAGTCTGCGAGCAGGCCCATGGGTCCGGGGCCCAGGGTGGAGCAGAGCCGGGTCCGAGACACCTCCCGGGCAGAGCGCCAGTGTGGACACTCAGCACCCGCATTCCACCTGCACATGTCAGTCCTCGTCAGTCAGAAGGAACTGGAGGGTGCAACCCGTGATGGTCAGGTCTTGGCGAGTGCTGGGCATTTATGCGGCACCGGCAGAGACGCTGCCCCACGCACTCCGTGCCCGTCACCAATGCTGCCTGCATGCCATGCGACACCCAGGAACGCGCTTGGCCTTGGTGGCTGGACCTGGCAAGCCCTGAACTGCCGCAGTCTTGTTTCTGTCACGCAGCCAGAAGGAATCAACCCCTCTCCAAAGCTCACCAGGTTCAGCCAGCTCCAACGCCTCCTTGCCATGCCCTGGGCCAGGCCTGGCTGTGCTCCACAAGGACACTTCCACTACCTCCCCAAGGAAGGGCTTGTTTGAGCAAAGACACGTCCTGAGCTTGTTCTGATGCCAACAGCGAAAGTGGGGACAAAAGGGCTCCTGGAAAGAGCAATGCCCACCCTCAGCCCCTCGGAGAGCGGCCCTTTCCCCTGTGGGGTACACCGGGCAGGAAGAACGAGTGGGGCCAGGGCTCTACTCACCTTCACAACACGTTAGTAGCAAGACGTTAATGAAGAGACTGTTTTATTAGCACTAGGAAACCATTTCCTAGAAATACAAGCACCCCAGGTCTGGAGCAGGAAAAGCCCAGCACCAGAGCTGTTAGGGCAGAGTTCAGGTGGGAACTCCCCTGGCCGGAAGGGCAGGCACTACAATTTCTTTCTTGGTGCCCCTGTGCCCCTGCCAGCGGGCTGCTCCGGCCCCACCAGGCACAGAACAGACTTGGCCACTGCCAGGGGATTCTTGATGCCGAGGCGCTAGAGGACACAGATCCACGAGGCCAAGTCTCGGTGCAGAGGGGATCCACTGCTCCAGACCAGGACTACCAGCCGTGGGTGGAGGCCCAGACTGCGCTGCAGCACTGAGATATTACTTCCCACACTGGTAACGCAGGGCCTGGATCCATCCTGCAGCCACGCCGCCCACCACTGCTGTTGGAAGACATGGCCCAGGACGAGAGCCCTGCTATGTGCCTGCGCCTGGAGCCCCTTGCAAGGGTCCACTGGGGCCTGGAGCTGCTGGTGGGTCAGGGGAGGCTCCAGGTCCCCCAGGCCCTGGCAGGGCAGTCGGTGCTGCTGATCCCTCCTGGGACGAATTCTGGGACGCCTGGGCTGTGCTGGCCTCGTAGTTGGAGATGCGGCGCTGCATGATGGAGGGCATCAGTGCCACGTAGGCGCTCATCAGGCGGTGGTTGGAGTGGACCAGCTTTCCAGCACAGCTGTCGAGGCACGTCTCCTGCAGGGCGGGGACGATCAGCGTGGCAAGAGGCTCCCATGGCCCCGCTGGCCCTGCACACAGGGGCTGGCCCCACCAGACCCGGGGCTCTGGCCATCCCAGGGCCTCACCTCGCGCCCAGTGAGCAGGCGGTAGTTGAGGTTGGAAACGCAGTGCCGGAAGCAGAGCTCGGTCATCCGGTTGTAGACCAGCAGGAAGTCCCGCAGCTGGAAGAGAGGCGGC